AATATGTTGTAAGATAACCAGCACCCAAGTTATCCCAGTTCCCCCAGCTCCAGTTACTCCAGTAGCATCTACCCCAGTAGGTTCAATTTCTGAGCAGTTGCCCTTGGATCCATTCGATTGCATCGGAGGGGCAGCCGAGCTGCTTCCCCAACGCCTTCCTTGTGAAGGGCTCCCCCGGCAGCGGCAAGCGCGGACACCCAGCCAAAAGGAGTTGGAGTCCTCTCAAAGTGGACCCTTTGGCTTTTGCTTTGAAATTAAGCTCGGGTGATATCCCCAACAGCATGCGGTGCTCTTTGTAGTGCTCGCACCACCCCGCAACCCTCGCAGAACCTCGTGGAACCACACCTGTACTCAGTGTCTTCTTTGAGGGTACCATTTGTGGGGCTGGTTCAAGCGAAACCAAGGGCAAGCCACTTGTTTCTCAAAACCAAACATAATATGAGCAACGGGCAACAGTTGCTGCACTGCAATCAAGGGCTGACGCTTGCTTGGCAGACTCACCAATATACCGTGAAGTGAGGGTTTTGTCACCAACCAATGTCAGTGGGCGACACAATGAATATTGATGGCTCAGCTGTGGTGCAGTCCAAAATTCCGGTGGTCTGGGGTCCATTTGGGAGAAATGTGTGGGACTCACCCAATTTATCATGTCTGGTAGGGGAAAGCAAGTACATTCGACTGTGGCTCATATGTCATATGAGGTTTGGTCAAGCAAATCCCATGGTCCAGTTCTGGGATCCCTTTTGACATTGTCATATGTTCTGAGGTTCGCCTAGTGAAGCAACCACATGCTCCAAATGAGAAATGGTCAATATGGACTGTCTTCTACGGTAGAGCAAAGTACCATTTGGGAAAGGGGTAGCTTACATGTTGGTTGGGGACGCAATGAATACTGACCGCAGATCACATGGTGCGGCCAGGAATTCTAAACCACTACCAGGTCATGTCAGACGTTACCCCAGAGTGGGCGGGCTTTCCTTTGCACAAGGGGAGCGCCCATGTTTTGCTCAACTCTACTCTCCCTTGCCTCTATCATTTCCCCGACTGGGAAAAAAACGTCCATCTCCCCCCATTCTCAGCAAACTCAATTCGCACACAGAAGAGAAAACCAAGGTGCAGATCATTTTTCAAAGGGGTCTTGTACCAAGCTGGACCCAACCTACTAGGAAGGGCAGAATATGGCCGGCTATACAATACAATGCTGTGGATGGGCGAGGTGTTGCGCCAGTTGGAGCGAATGAACCCCCATGACTGGTGGGACAACGTCCTATCAACTGGTGCAGGACTTGGTCCCACAGTTGGTTATATTGTAGTATGGAGCAACTGTTGTTGGGGGGTCCCTCGCTTTGCCTGACAAGTTCAGCCGCCTCCAGGGCTGTAATAGGCCGGTGCACAGTGAGCCAACAGGTGTGTTCAACCTCCCCGAAGTGGAAGCTACCCAAACACGCAGGCCCGCCAAGCCTTGGACTGGGACCCGAAAAGAGGTTTCTCAGTGGCCCAAAGCGAATCCACTTTTTGACCTTTTGGTTTCTCCTTGGTCTAGTTTTAGTCGCCCCAAGAGGTGATCACCTTTGATTTCTGGGTCCGAACTGGGCAAGTGAGGAGTTTAGTCTTTCGGACGACGGGAGGTTTCGGTCGAACATTTGGCGCGAGGTCCTGTTTCGTCGGGCGATTGTTGATGGAGCTGCTGGACAGGCGGATCGTGGCGTTTCGCTTCGATCCGCCGGCTGGTTGGGAGTACGGAGTACCTTCCGGAGGGTTTGCTGCTTGACGCTGTTTGCAAGCTGAAAGAAGGTGCAGATGATGAACTACACTTGCTCTGTTTGCTGTTTGACCTGTTTGCAAGCAACAATACTTGCATGCGCCATTTTAGGGTGTGGGCGCCTGGGAGTAGCACTGTCCAAAGCTTCAGCAGAAGTGGCCGGACCCTGCAGCTCCCCTGGAACGTGTCAGGGAATGGAACCCAAACGGATTGGGGATTTGACGGGCTGTCTCTGAAGAGAAACAACCAGAGCTCACTGCGGGTGGTGTATTGACAAAATGGGTGTGGCCCCTCATACCGCCCGCGTTTCGCTCTCAGTGGTCCAAAGTGACCGCCTTTTCCGGGTGTACCTGGCCTGAGGACCCAGAACTTATTTGGGCGGCAGAGACCCCAAAGCTTTCAGTCGGATACAAAACCAAACAAGTCGGGGATTGAAACCATTCAACTTGCCAGCTAGTTCCGTGCATCGCAGGTATGAGAACCTCATTCCGCTTATGCTGCCGGTGGCAGATTTGGTGAAGCGCTCCGATCCAGAAGGTGGGACAACGCCGTCAGGTTTGGCCTTGCCAGACTCATTGGACAACCCAGACTTCAAGTGCCGTGTTTTCTTCTTCCCCTGTTTTGTCTTGGGAGGATGTTTCTCGTTAAATTAAGTACCCAAACATGGCACACACGTTTACGCGGGATCTAAACACAACCTAGCAAGGCTTCCTCCAACAGTGAAGGTCTGCCTCCAAATTGGGCCAGCCCCAATCAAACTCAGCCAGGGGTTGTTTGTTACTACTGGGTTGGCATTACTTAGCAAAATGTTACTCTCCTGCAAATTGAAATGGAATCCAGGAAGTGCTGGTACGAGGATTTATGTAAGTACCAATGGGATATTGTCAGGGGTTGACAGGGGTCAACCTTCCTGCTTAGGTACTTGGACCCTTTTAGGCCATGATTTAGATGTGCTTTATTCTTTTTCTTGAACCACTTGCAAAGCACCTTGAACCCCAGGGTGACTTCCCCTAAAAGACTCGTGCATTGTCCATCTCTTTTTGGAAGCAAAAGGACTGTAACCAAGTGACTCAGCGCTTCCAGTTGCCACTGCAGGCAACCTGGGGTTCGTTCTTCTAGGTCTTACAACCACGATATCTCCCAATTCCGGGGGGGGGGGATCTGACGTTGAATTTCTTTCCCCGGGTGCTAAATGTTGGACTTCGGGAAGATATTTGCACCCAGGTGCCGTGCCCATTTTTCAGTAGCTTCCTATGGTTTTGGGCATGGTCTACTTGCAATGCTGTGATCGGGGCATCCACCGAGTGGCGAGTGGCGAGCGATTGAGACCTCCAGGTCCGGACGCGTACGATGCAGATGCCGTGCAGGAGCGGCAAACCTGGGTGCCGAGGGTCAGCTTCGCCGTGTTAAGGGGGCCAACCAGAAAGAAGCCGTGTCCATTTTCGCTGGGCGTTTTAAGATCTAATTGTCCCCTTTTAACACCAAGTTCTGGTTGCCACTTTCAGGTGGGTTTCCTTTTGGCGACGATGTTTGGGGATGAATCAGGATGCCTGCTTTAAAGACTACGAGACTTGAGGGGTTGCTGGGTACCCATGTTGTACCCTTGTGCCGAGCCGCTCGACTCTGAGCCAGATTTTTTTTGTTTCATCCCCACCCCCTTAAACTATTAGTTCAGCAGATTTCGGCGTTTCGATTCAGGTTGTTTGGTGGGTTCACTAGAATTTGAACCAGCAAATGTCTCATGTCTGGACAAATTGTAGCGACCTTACGCCACAAATTGTAGCGACCTCACCATGTGCAAGCTGTACAGAGGGGGTTCCCCTTATTTTGGGTAGGTAAAGTATCATACTCACCTGGATGTGTGCCAGAAATCGCCGGCCACCAGCCCGCTCATCCCCGCACACAGTCTTTTCGCTGGCTTATTTTAAGACACCAGCTGGAGGAAATTCAACGAGAAGTGGCCTTTGGGATAGGTGCACCACCCATTTTAGTCCATTTTAGTGGGGATTGGGATGTTCACTGGGGGTACGAGGTTTTGACCCATGGCCAAGTCAGCCAAAGTCCTTGGCTTTGGGGTGTTTGCGAGCTTCATGCAGAACACTGGGTCTATGAAGGCGAACATGTTGTGGGGTTCTCAAGGATACTTGTTGGGGTTTGCTCCCTTGAAACCACCATGAAGAAGGCAACTTGGAGGCTAGTTGCAGGATGTCAATTTAAAAAAGGCTTGTGCACAGGACTGGTTTGACAACTACCTGCGCATCACCTATGGAGAAGACAGTCTGCGCTACAGCATGATCTGCCAGGCCCGAGTGGTACACTAGCGCTTGGGTTCACGTCTTGCAGACCTCCAGTGGTGCATTTGTCCTTTGCGGTTGAGGGGTGGAGGCATCTCTGTAAGGTCGACTACCAACAAGGGGCCCGTCTTTTGCCATGGCTCTGGAGGTCTGGGAATGAACATGTCATCGACCTCCCAACAGGGCCTTTGTAAGAGCCGCTTGGGCTCTTCGAGAGCTCCCCAAAAGGGGGCAACTAAAGGAGCTTCCGCCGATCAGAAAGCACTCCAAAGCCATGATATGATTGACAATGGTCTTGCTGAGGCGGCGAATTTTCTTTTTCAGAAGGCAGAGGCGGAAATGCGACAGGGGCAAGCACGTGTTGAAGAGTTAAGCTTGGGAGGATGCATCGCTTTGTATCGATTTGCTTGCACTTTTTGCAAGTGGCGACACTAAACAAAGTTGGGGCCAGCCCCGTTTTGGGGATTGTTTTGAACAACAAAACAAGGGAAATCGCTCGAACAAAAATGGGGCAACAGTGGCTGGGATCTGTGGCCCATCGGGCAGCACGCAGCCCGGACGGTTTGATCAAGGGCATTGGAAACCCGGCAACCACCCAATCGAGCTCCTTTTTCAAAGGAGGCGTACGCTAGGTAGCAACCCGTCTACGCACATTTAAGCAATGCCCCCTAAAAGGGGGGTCACGACAGGGGTTGCTAGTCAGTCAGTAGTCTGTTTGCTTCAAACTGAGCAATCCAGCACCCCCCCCCCTTGCCCTTCCCGGTTCAGCGATGCAAACACACACACACACACAACCAGCTGGCTTTCAATATTTACCTGCTTGCTTTGTCAGATGTCATTGAGCAACACTCAAACCAAGTCCGAGTTTTCCTGGAAGCCAACTCAGCGGATCCGTTGGCTTCAGGCCATCAGCATGTCGCGGGTGGTCTTCCTCTTCGAGGGTCTCGAGGATGCGGAGAAGCCGACCAAGGCCGAGCGGGATCCGCGGCATGAGAATTTTGGGCGGGTGAAACGGTGGATGCCCCTGCCATGTTTCAAGTGAGAGCAACGAGGGACCATGGCCCCCCCCCGTAATTGGCCCTATACCATGATTTTGGTTTGGTGTGGTTGGCCTACTTGCAACATTTTTGGGCGCCGAGCCTGGGCTGGTTGAATGCCGCAACAGAACACAGTAGCCCGGTTTTCTGCGCTGCCTTGGTTCCTTTTCGGGTTCCTCAGGTTTCCTGTTGGCCCAAATCTAATGATATAAGGTTCCATCAACGACACTTGTGTTTGTCCTGCGGGTCGAAAGGGTTGTTCAGAGCTCAAGTTTTGTTATCAAACCAGGTGAACTAGAATGTGGGCATGTGTCCTCCTTTTAGGTGTGGGTATGTGTTGATGGTATACAAATTGTGGGGGGTATTTAACAAAAACATAAGGAGAATTCTGCTATTCCTTGCGGGGTCCTTAATTTGGCACAAGCGCTGTCGAACATAGCCTACTGTGTGCCTCAGTGTCCAAAGGACAAGTGTTTGCTTGCTATGGTGTGCCCTTTTGGGGAGTATGACAGTGCAACTGGTGGACCTTACTTTTTGTCCAACTGACTTGGGACTGTAATTCTTTCAGATGTCCTCCTTTCTTTTGTCGGGTGGTGCATAAAGAAAGATCGCCTTTTCCCAATCTTCATTGAGTCTGCTTTGGGAGAGGTGCTTTGGGTATTATTTAGTTCGGCGCCTATGCATGTCAGCCCTGGGGTAATCAACCTCGCTGGTTCTCATGGGGGTGTTTCCCCCCAAAACAGGTGAAGCACGCAGAATACCTTTTGAACAAATCCCCCTCATCATGTTTCAACCAGAGTTTTTCATGCCATATTCGCGGACCCCCCATGATTCAATGAGAGGTTTTGTTATAGTCTTCCAGACCCTCACCGAACAAACACCCAGCCCGGCCGCACATTCGACGCCATCGTCAGGCGGTGGAGAGCTTGATCCGAGTCCTGGTGCGGGCGAAGAACCTCGTGGCGCGGGAACCCGGCCAAGCCTCGCTCCCCTGAGTTCCGCTGGGGACCAGTTGAGCGGTAGCCTTGGTTGAAAATTTGCAAACAGTTTGGGGACTTCTTGTTGGCCAATCCGCTCAAGCGCGAACATCGTTCACATTATCAGACCCGAAACCGTTCACATGAAAATGATGTAGCACCCTAGACCCCATTTGTTAGATGTTGTTAGAACCCATTTTGGTTTCTTGGGGTTTTGTGGATGATCGAAATCCTAGCTTCCCTTACTGTAAACGTGGGTTGGGGAACGGGGACGGTTGCAGGCTTGTCCGTTTAGGATGACTCTTTCATGAGGACCTTGGTTAAGAGGTGCTGACTAGAGTTGTCCGTGTTAGACTTGCCTTGTTGCTGAACTGCATTGTCCCCCTGAAGGTGGCAATGCACTTGGCACATAACTTTGGTTCCCCACTCTTTTGGGGCTCGCAACAATAGGCTCCATTGGGAGTAATGCATGTATTGCTGTCCTTGGTGAGCTGAAGAAAACGGATGCTTGAAACTGTTCACAAAGGCCTGAACACTGCTTATCCCACAGGATTTGTAGGGGGACCATTGTCATGGGCATGTTTGGGCAAGAATACCCCTTTGTCTCACAGTTAATTATGTTGGTCCATGCGTGCGTTGGTCATTGGAACTCCTGTGGTGACGGGGTTCCCACAATTAAGCCACGATTCATGGTTCGTGGTCCCATAAACCAAGATTTCATACCAGGATTCGTTCCAGGGGTTTATAACAGTGGTTGATGCAAGAAGTTGATGTATAATTAGTTCATAGGTTTTGGCTATTTTTCCAGGTTGGTTGGGCTGTTTTTGTTGTCCGCCAGGTGGTGACTTCCCGGCCTCTGCTGAGCGGGCGAAGCGCCCTGGAGAATGAGCCGGAGTTGATTGTCACCATGCGCCTCGAGAACCTCTCGGACGAGCAGAAGCGGATGGCGCGGCAGATTAGGGGTTCGCAGTTTGGAGTTTGGCGGGGGAGACTTCCTTCCTTAAATGGGGTTTCCCACAAGTCAATATGGACTGCAGCCCAAAAAGGGGATCACTCAAATGGAGGTTTCTCTGGACCATGATCGCTTGCTGGAGTCCAGGTTAGTCTGCGGTGGAGTAGATGAAAACGGAAGCCACCAAGTACCCCTGCGGGGAGTAAAGTGATCTCAGCGATCTTACTCGCAGACACGTTAGCCTCAGAAAAAGGTATCGAGGGGTTGTGGACACGGGTCTATGTTGCAGGCCATTCTCCTGCCAACAACTTATATCTTTGCCCCTCATCAAAACAACAGACAATTGCCGAACACCCTACTCCCAGGCGGATTCCACTCAGCCAATGCGCCTGTAAGGCTGAGCTGTGCATGTGCCCATGTTGAGGGGCGCTCAAAATTATATTTGGGATTTCCCTTCAAACCCTCCTGTACAGGCTCATGTTGAGGTCACTTTGATGGACCTAGTTAAGGTCGCATTTTCGTCAGCCATCTCGCAGGTCGCCTATGCGCGCCTGGGTGCTGAGGGCATCGAAGCGTATGACAAGCTCTTGTCAAGGCCATCGGGCTCTAGGGTCGGTGATGAGCCCCAGTGCGCGCAGCATTCGATTCTTTTTGAAGAAGGACATGCAAGCCCTTTTTGGAGTTGCTCAAAAGGGAAGTCAGGAAAAACAAAAAAACAGTTTGTTTTGGCGGAGGGGGGGTCCCCAATTTTGAGACAAACCTTGCCTCAAAAGCTGCCTTGCCAGGCTTCGTACGTCGCAGAACGTCAGCGACCAGGCACCGGCAGTGAACATACAGGTTGATCCTGTTTATGGAAGGGGCCATTCTATTAATCGGGCCCTAGTAGTGGCAAGAGTGAGCGTTGCTCTAGTTTCCGTGGTTGGAACAGGTGACCATGTTGCAGATGTTTTCCTTGCTGGGTTGTGAAACATGAATCCACAGGAGTTTTAAAGCTTTCTGACTGCTGCTATGTGAAGGGTGAGTCTGAATTGGTCCGAATGGCTGTGGCTCCAACAAAAGTACCCAGATGGCACCTTGGTAAATGAAACCAAAGACTAAGCGCTGCGTAACCTTAGCTCTCTAATTAATTTTGAGCTACACCCATATATCAGGGTTCCTTCGGGTTCTTCAAAGTTTTTTAGGGAGCCTTTTGAAACCCTGCGAACTGCGAACTGCGCAGGGTGAAGAGGCAGCCACCGACGGCGCCGAGGAGAGAGCGCGAGCCAGTGCTCAAGCGCCAGCGGGCGTGCCCTTGGTTGAACCATCCTTTATTCCCGTTGGGGTTGGTTTCAAAGTTGGTTTAGGGCAAGCCTGGGGATGTTTAGGGTGGGTTGGAGTGCGGTTGGTTGGGACTCTTTGGAACCCCGCAAAGATTCAAGGGGCGCGTTGGGTTCCCACCCACCTTTGTGGAAGGAAGCCCAACTCGTTGCTCCTTTGTAAATCGACATGGGAGCCCAAAAAGGGGGTCCCCCAAAAGGAGTCTCCGCCAAAACGCGTGCTTTGTGCTTTGCACGTCAAAGCAGTGCGTGTGTGTGTGCGCTTGGCAGGGATTCGGTGCCCTTTAAGACCTGATTGCAGAACTGCGCTTAGGATTCCTTTCGATACAACTGGGTCCCCAGAAGCCGAAGCCCTCATTCGGGCAGAGACCTCTGGTTTCTTCTTCTTTTCCTGCGTTTTGGGCAGGTTGTCCCTCTACAAATCAACAAAAGGTCTCTTTGCCCATGGTGTGGGAATGTTCGAACTCAGTTGCCCCTGTGGCTTTCTCAAGCCTAGAGCATGTACAGCTAGCCAAACAATCAAGGAAATTTATGGGTTGTCCACCAAGTCCTTGCTCATTCGGCCCCGGAACGTGCAGGGTTTGGGTTATAAAAGTCAGCTACAGGAAATTCGACACAGGTCGACAAACACACGTCAGACACAGGCGGGGGTGGCTGCTTCCTGTAGAATTTGCTGGTTGGACTGGTTTCTTGGATTGTAATTAGCTTGTTTTTGTTGTTGTTTTTGTTGGGGGGGCTTTGGGTCATGCGGTCTGGTTCTGGGGGGGGTCGTCCTTGAAGCGTCTCCGCAGGACGTGTTCGGCAATCCCATGATGCTTAGCATGCTGCTGTGTTACCTGCAGACCACAGCCAAGACCAAAAGTCGGGGGCCCTACCTTGTGACAGACATGGTTCGGTGCGCTGCTTTCTTGTTGGAAAGGGAGCCTGTGCATGTCCATATTGTTTGCTTAAGGCTACCATAGGCTACCTTTCGAGACCTTGGTTTTCAGCCACCCACATTCGATATGCGTTGCCCAATGAGATTTCTTCTCACTTTGAAAGTGAGAATGAGGGCCTGAAGTATTTGGATGAGATTGGGAGCAACTGCTTAACCACAATACTCGATGATGCTGGGAGAATTAGGTGTTTAATCATTTAGCCCCTGACATTACCCTGGATTGACACCTTTGAAAGATCTTTGCGTGGGGAGGTTTGGGAGACGGGGGTTGATCATGGCTGCAGGAAATGGGGGGGGGGGGGCTTGGGTTGCCACTTTCTGTGATACCAACACATTTGAACGTGATTCCTCACTGTTGAATGGGGATTCCAGGGGCACCTTTTGGAGAAACCCATCAAAGCAGCCACATGGCCATAGGAACAAGGATCACCATGTGTGGTTCTCCTAAAAATTCAACCCCGTGAAAAGATTCAGCTCCATTTGTTTCTCACTGATTCCAACCATCCAACCGTTTCCTGAACACAAGTTGGTGCGGGCTCATTCCACTTGCATGGGATGGCTTTAGTTGGACGGACAACCAAACAAAAACCAATCGTTTCGGGAGAATTCCCCCTTTGGAGACATACCTACGGAGGGCTTCGTTTGAATTGTTCCGTGGTCTTATACAAATCCTTCTGCGCACATCTTTCCTGGCTTTCCTCCGAGATGCGGAGAAGAGGGAGACCGATGCGGACGAGAAGGGCGGCGAGGTGGGGTTGGTCGGAAGTTTGCTAAAAAGTCATTTCTTCGTCGTCATGCCAGATAGTGTCGTCCCTTGTTAGTTGTAGTGATTGTCCGAAGATTCAGGACGTGAACCCAGTTGTTCATATTTGGTTGGTTGAGAAAAGACAACGCCTCTGTTTGATTGTCTTGGGTGTTAGTTTGTTTCGTTGGGTGAATGAGTTGCCGTTACGGCAAGTATGTAGCCCGGAAAATTTGAACGTGATCCAGTTGCATGGTGTTTCGTGTTGAACCAAATGGTCAGTCAGCCAATGTAGGGTCTCCCGTTTTTGGGAACACTCATTCATTTCAGGCTGATGCAAATAGCACATAAGTGGTTCGATGGGGCTGGTGACTCGGTGGCCTTTGAACATGAGCCGCCTTTGAACTAAGAGGATGTGGACTACCCCTCGAACCCCCAACTATGCCTTCCCAGGGCAAAGGCAACAAGGGTTGAATATAATATCACTGCAAGCCGTACATAAAGCATATCATGCCTCATGTTCCCCATTCCGGTGGTTCGGTCCGCATGCCCATCCGATCATCCAGAGAGTTTGTGGGGGTTGGGACTGGACCAACTTGTGGTTCTCTTCAGGGGTGCCAAGCTTTGGGTGCCAACTGGGTGCGTCGCTTGAGGGCACCTCTGTTTTGAGTTGTTTTAAGGGTAACCGACCCGGCAACCATGTTGAGACCCCGAACTAGAACTCGGGCTCCCCAATGGCGCCCCAACTGGGGCCCTTACAGTGAGCATTTCAAGAACTCTCAAAATTACTTTTGAGCGTGCTTTCCCTGTGAGCCACCATGTAGAGGGCAATGTAGAGGATGTGTCACTTGACCAGACCTGGTCCACTGATCATGTGACGTGGCCGGGTAAAAGGTACCAAGAAGGCCCCTGTGGGCAGCCTTGTCAGTTGCCGTTTGGGTGGGCTGAGCTGATGGATGGCGTCACCCACCGTGAAACATGGTTGCATGCCCCTTTTCGTGCCACCGTCCAGGGTGTTTCTTTTGATTACTTTGTCACTTTTGTTTGGGAAGTGTTCTAAGCGCCACCTACAGAAAGTGGGGTTCCCTAAACCCCAAAATTCGACAAAGGATCAACATCCCCCTCCCCTGACCCTCTCCACGTTTCCCCAACATAATGCCGAACGTGCGACCTTAACGGGAATTTCCATTTTGGTTGGTTGTTCCTGTTGTCACTTTTCTCGTTCAGTTGTTTGTTTGGTTGGGGGGGGGTGTCAATCGCATGAACCCATGGCCATGTTTGCCAGTTTGGTGGTTGGACTTTCACAATCATGTGGTAAGAAACTCGGACTCAAGCAATAAACTAGGTCTTTATATCAGGGTTCACATATGGATGGGGCTTTGGAGACATGAGAGACCCCCCTTTGGTTTGTGTATCGAGGGAAACCAACAGGGCTTCCCCACATTTGGAACCACCTTCATACACTCCGCCTGGGTTTCCTTGCGATCTCAACCTGAAAGACCAAGCTTAAAAGGGCATACCCTGGTCCCGTGACCAACCATCCGCAGTATGGCTTCGGTCTGAACCTTTCGCGGGATATCACCAGGAGTCCGAGGAGACCACGCTCACGGCAGTGTACCGGGTGGCCGTGGACGCACCTCGGCCGCGCGCGCGTGCTTTTTTTTTTTTTTGGTGGGGTGGGTCTCCTTACAAGAGATGCACTTAAGTTCATGGACCTGTTTTTCTTTTGCGGAAGACTCTTCTAGTGGGGACTAACAAGTTTGTAAGGTTGTTGCAAATCCACTCGCGAAGTGAGCGAGGGCAGACTACACAAGACACTCTGACAGGGAGGTGATTGAAGTAGGACCGGGCCAGTGGAAGTCGATGGGTTCGGAGACAATGCGGGGACTGAAGTGGGGTGGGTTCCCCAGTGGTCTTTGCCCGAAAAAGCGGTTCCTTCTACTAGGGTCACCGGCCGTGCCAATGAACAAACAGGTCTTTGATGGCAAATGAACTGCGCCCAGCGTTTTATTTTCCCTTTTTCTTTTCCGAGCTTGGCTCCGACAGCAGCTGTTCTTGTCTTTGCTGACGGACCGTGAACCGTGCCTGCAAAAGTGCGCTTTTTGGAACATGACTGTTTTGACCCGATGTGGCACGGTTATCACGGACATAGAGCTCGGTTCACACAGGTTGGCCGGCAAGCGGGTGTCAGGCGCGTGTGCTCATGCGCACGTTTCAGACAACACATAGAGAACACGGAATGTCTCCTCATGCGAGACGCTGTGGCCCATGTAGAAGCAATCGTCCCTGTTGTGTATTGTTCTTATAAACTTGCTGCAGATGTTGTTATAAACCTCTTGCTGTTCTTGTGATTTGTCCTTATAAACCTCTTGTGGCTGTTATGTGTATATTCTTATAAACCTGTTGCGAATGTTGTGTATTATGTTATCTTAAACCTCTTGGGGATGCTGTTGCGGATGTTGTGCAGTATGTCCTGAGAATAAGCTCAGGCGATATCCCCAACAGCAGGCGGTGCTCTTTTTAGTGCTCGCACCACCCCGCACAGAACCTCGTGGAACCCTCGTGGAACCCTGGTGGAACCCTGGTGAAACCCTCGTAGAACCTTACCTCAGACCCGCCCCGGACCACCCCGCCACCCCGGAGCCTATCTGGCCCAGACCCCAAAGCTTTCAGTTTTTGGCGGGAAAAAAACGTGAATGTCTAGAGCGTGCACCATGTACCGAGTCCGCCTGCCATTTGCGGGCACGGTTAGCGGTCCGCCGGCTTGTTTTTCATGTGGTTTGAACACCATCTTTAGGACCTTTCCCTTTCAAGCGGGGGTATGATTTCCTTTCTAGTTGTAAATTTGTTGCCTATGGTTTGTCGTGTGGGGCGGGTGTGACGTTTCAAAAGATAGGACACCTGCCCGAGCTCTCGTGATCCGAGGTGATGCTTCAGCGCTTGCAGGCGCGAACCCAAGCTGACCGCATCAAGGCCCAGGAGCGACGGGCTGTTTTTCTTCCGCGTGAGATGATGCCCAGGTGGCACTCGTTGCTTGAGGGATTTCTCTGTAAACTCAACCAACAACACGCCTTTTCAGATAGGGCCATGGGGCAAAATCCAAATCGCATCCCAGTGAACATCCCAATCCCTACTAAAATAGACTAAAATGGGTGCACCTACCCCAAAATGGTACCATTGGTTTTGACCCACAGCCATAGAAGTCCACTGGGCTCAGAGCGGGCGAATGCTATTGGCGTTTGTTGGGGTCGAGAAAAGAGGGCCACACCTAAAGCAACCTGTAAGGGCTGCTTGTTCGAATGTTCGAAAGCCCAAGTGATGTCAAGAAGGCATTCATTTTGGGGTTGAACATGGACCGCAGCTCTTGGATACTGGGACAAGCCACCAACCAACCAGTGCACAGTGGAGTTTGTCCTTCCGCAGTACGACCAGAGCAATCAGGAGCGTGTCCCAATGGCTACTTTGTCACATTATGGGTGTCTGTTTGTGTGTGTGTGTGTGTGTTTCTTTTGAAAATACCATGTTCAGCATGTTTTCAAGGGAAACCAACCTGCAAGGTACCGGTTGTTTGGATCCCTATTTTGCCACATGCGCTTCTGTTCCCCCCCCCTCCAACCCCGGATTGTGGGAAGTCACCCAGGAGCGGGTGGACCAGTTTAAGCAGATCTTGCAGATCATGGCCATGGCTGGGGACTCGATCGAAGAGCGGAAGTACCGGGATGCCTGGAACATCTGCGAAGCCAAGGGCCGAAAGAACTTCATTCTCCGAAGATCATGACTCTGACTCCATTCGGCTTTAACATGCACCACAAACCCATTCTAGATTCTAGCACTGGAAGTCGCTCAGGATAGTAGCCCAACAAGTCATTGATGGTTGATGCAGCTTTTCATCTCAATGAAATTGGCCCAGGGCAGCGGGCTGTTTGAACACGTCTTGAGACTGCCAACGCCGGACAACGAGGCCATGCAAATCAGCCGGCGAGTGGAGATCCGGGTGGAGGAGGCGCGCGCTAGGTTTTGGAATCAATGCGCCGTGTTCCCGTGGAGCCCTCAAAGGGAAGCCGGTTTGCCCAGGGAAACAGACAACCGTTTCTTTGTTTTAACACCCTAGTGGATGCGGACGTCAGTAGGGCAGTAGGGGATCACCGTTTTGGGAATGAAGTGGAGCACCAAGATTAGGGGATGCGAGTCATTGTGTGTGTGACTCCTTAATCTTGGATGCCTCGGTTCATATTGCGGCTTCCCTGGACATGGCTGTAAGTGGGCAAAACCCCTGGCTTGTTCAAAGGAAGCCAACATGCACGCATGTGTGTCTGTGTTTGTGTCTCTGTCTGTGTCTGTGTCTGTGTCTGCGTCTGGGTCTGGGTCTGGGTCTGGGTCTGATCTGGGTCTGGGTATGGCGGGTATGGGTCTGGGTCTGTGTCTGTGTCTGTGTCTGGGTGTGGGTCTGGGTTTGGGTCTGTGTCTGTGTCTGTGTCTGTGTCTGTGTCTGTGTCTGGGTCTGGGTCTGGGTCTGGGTCTGAGTCTGGGTCTGGGTCTGTGTCTGTGTCTGTGTCTGTGTCTGTGTCTGTGCCTGTGTCTGTGTCTTTGCTTGTGTCCGTGTCCGTGTCTTTGTCCGTGTCCGTGTTTGTGTCCGTGTCCGTGCTTGTGTCCGTGTCCGTGTCTGTGTCTGTGCATGTGCCTGTGCCTGTGCAAGTGCCTGTGTCTGTGTCTGTGTCAGAGCGTTGTGTTTGTGTCTCTATCTGTGTCCGTGTCTATGTACTTCTGTGTTTGTTGTCTGTGTCTGTTTGTGGTGTGGTGAGTGTGCCTGTTTGTGTTTGTGTGCGTGTGTCTGTGTTTGTGCGTTGTGTTTGTGTCTGTGTCTGTGTCTGTGTCTATGTTTGTCTGTGTTTGTCTCTGTGTCTGTCTGTGGTGTGGAGAGTGGTCCTGTTTGTACATATATATATATATATATGTGTTTGGCATTGTGCTTGTGATTGTGCTTGTGCTTATGTTTGCCTTTGTGTGTGTGTGTGTATTGTTTGAAGGAAAGCCACACAGGAAAGCACGCATCCTTTTTGGGGGTCCAAATCCCACATATCCAATGGTGTTGATGGACGAAATCTGCTTCGCAGCAGTTGGTACATGTCTTGTCGCGATATTTCCAGGGGTTTGTTCATCATGGGTGGTGCAGCATTTCGTCCATCAACAGAATGGCTGGGAGATCAGGTGGGTGGGAGATCAGGGACCTAAGGCCCTCGTCACCAAAACAGGCACCCTCAAGAAATGAAGCGCATAACATGTTTTCTCCATTTCCAGCCAGTTTCAAGAGGTTATATTATTGTGGACACAAGCCAAAATGGATGGTTCACTAGGTTGCCCTTCTCACGTTCAAACATTGTCTGCTTGATACTTTTTGGGAAGACCATTTTGAAGGCAAACGGTGACACTTGTTTGGCCAATGCAGTTAGGAAGCGAGTTCTGGGTTAGCCCTTTGTTGCGGAAGGGCACCAGATCCCCACACCAAGCTGAAAATGATGGAAAATGCGACTTTGCCCGACCTCATTTGTTTCCTTTCTCCAAAGAGAACCACGGGGAAATGTATAAAAATGTCCCTTCAGGGGTTTGCTGGGACCCGGGCCGTCCCGCTCTCAATTTCGGGATGGATTTACTAATGGGCCACGCAGGAGCGGGCTAATTCCGCGGACAAAGGATGCCAGGAGCAAAAAAAAGGTACGAGTTGAGCCCAGCCGCCTGCGCTTGCCGCGGAAAGTACCCGTGGGTCGCTCAGGTGGAGACCCTCCTGAAGCCCGAGCTCCAGGCTGGCTGGGAGGCCCTCAAGTCCGCCGTGTCCGCAGGCGCGGGGCGCAGGGGGTTGGGTGCGCCGGGCGAAAGCAGAGGGGGGGGATTGGGGAGGCCGGGGCGTCTGGGTCTGTGGTCGCATTTTGAGGGATTCTCCGATTTTAGTGCGCAACCTCTGAAGGAATGCCTTTTTGCCGTTTAGACAGCACATGTCCTGATTTGTTGATCATGTCCAGTGGTTTGCTCGGGATTTCATTGCCACCATCCCCAAGTGCCCTTGCAGCAGCAAGACAAACAATAAACTAACTGCGAAATGCGAAACACACCTGGTGGGGTGTTTTAATTGGATCGTCCATCTTCACTGTTCCTAACAATTGTAGTTTTTCTCCCGGTCTTATTAGATTATGGCCAGTCTTACTAGGGGCGTCAAGGGCAAACTGTTTTTCTGACATAGAGTCAAAACGCGATCGCTGCAGATCGAAAGGTTTGCTTTGGCAGAGGTTCTGGGCAAGTGTCAGCGATGTTCGGGGGATGTGCGACTGAAACTCATTAAGGTTCCTTTCTCGGAGGTCCATGTCTTATTTCAGGTTGGTACCCCCTAATTCATCCAGATGGTTGCATGCAGACAGTGTGCACATGCGCGGATAGGCCTGCATACAAACCTTATACACTATATAATGTTACACATGTGTATAAATAATATATATATATATATAATATGTCTATGCATCTGTGTGTGTACCTATATGTTTGCTCATTTTGTGGCACCACGAGCTCACTATGATGTGAGTCCTTCGCTTTAGGGTTCCTGATCTCAGTGTTTGGTTTTATTGTCAAAAGTCATTCAGAATATATACAGATTGTCCACTTTCAGAGATATGACATATGCTTCTTCCGTGTCCTTGCCAAACCGCGTCGATCAGGCCATGCCATGTTCCTGCGAATGACGGGGGAGGTGGGCAGAGAGGAGCTGCGGTTCTTGGTCAAGGCCGGTTGCTCGGCAGCTGAGAGCTGATTTAGCAGGGTTCTGAAAATGATGCGGACCCTGTGTCGGGGAAAAAGGGAAACCAAAAGCATAACATCCCATTTGATGGGGTTCTCCCCTTTTGAGACGTACCCAGATGATTAAAATACACGGGTAGAAAACATGTGTTGGTTTCGTTTGGAGTTAAGGGACGATCAAGAGGCCCAAGAAAGTGATTATTGGAGGACACGCAGAGGGCTGGTGTGGTTGGCCTCCCTTATTGAGCTGCTGGATTTTTTGGACGGTTTCTGAGGTTGGACCATTTTAAAGGCAAACAAACAGGTAGGTAGTTATTGAGATCCACTCATTGGGGACCGCGTCAGGGCTTCCAGAACTTCTTTGCTGCCTCCTGCGTGGCTGCGGAGGGCGCGGAGGCCATTCCGGGAGCTTTCCCAAAAGGAAACAGGTCTTCCCAGACCCTCCTGTCAGCTTTCATTGTTTGGGGGGGGGTAATATAACCATGATGCATGTGGCTGCCTTGGTTCCCTACTATTCAAGTACATAGAATCAGCGGGCATAGTGCCATGTTCATTTATTTGTTGATGGCAAGATTCATTAGAGACCCCCATGGTGTTGGGCACCATGGCGTGTTTTGGGCCTCTGACTTCAAGCCAGGGCTTACCCGACCTCAAGGAGCTGCTGTGGGGCGCTCAGCTTCCGGGAGTTCGGGCCCAGGCCTGCGGACAGCTGTTGCGCCTGTTTCTGTGGTTTTCGTCTTTGCGGTTTTGGGGATTTTGTTGTAGCTCTGTTTTTGCCCTCAAAGAGGGATGTTGAAAGCAGGATGGGGGAACCCTGTTGGTTGATAAGCTCTTGGATCTCTCAAGTAGTCTTAATTATTGAAAGCCAGGGCTTGTAGCAGTGTTAATCCTTAGTAACTTAGTAAGGCTTGTCTAGGGCTAGCCCTCCCCCAAGAATGGATGTCTTGATCCATGACAGACTCTCAGACCTGAGGTGCCATCGCAAACCAACGCGCTTCACGGTCTGTTTTTTCTACAATGCTCAAAACCGTGCTGGACATAGTATAAATCCCTCGCTTGGAGGATGCTGGAATCCGTCTGGAGTGTGCAAACTCTGTTGACGGTTGGAGAATGATCCCACAATTTAGCGGTGATGACCCCATGCTCTTCAGATATGTTGAAGAGGCGGCCCTAAGTGTTGACATTTGTTTGTCGCCAGAACAGTCATGCACCAACAGGGCTTAAGACAAACTAAGTTACCAGGAATTGCCAGGACTTGCCAGCATCGACCAGGCTTTGTGAGTCTCGACCAAACTGAGGACTGACGCATGGTGGCAGCAAATGTTGGAGATGTTGGGGGAGGCGCGGTGAGTGCTGCAGTGCTGCTTGTCCTGACTTGAGTACGTGGAAGAATGCCAGCTAGAACAATTTCGTTTAGAGCGTTTAGAGCTATGATTGGGCCAGCAGTGACTGCCAGTCATTTTGGTACGATTCCGGACCATTACTGGCTATGTTTTTGATGCCATTGCTATGAGTCACTATTGGAAACTGATTGTGTGTGTGTGTGTTGACTTCATAGTGGTTGGAAAGGTCAGTGTTTCAAACTCAGAGTCAGAGTTGTCTTATGTGCGGTTTTGTTTGTACACCCTGGGATGACACCCAGAGGGATATCATCTCGTTTTTCCAATTGCATCGTTTTCCACAAATAAATACCGGTGATTCGGTGAATTCCTGGTGCAAGTCCAGGGTGTCAGAGTACACAACAACTGTTACACTCAGGCAGTCAAGCGAACATTGTTCTAGATGGAAAAGTTTGATATGTCCTTGCCAATGGCCCTTCAGCCTTTTTATCATGTATACTCGCCTGTGCGGTATGAAGGGATGAAGAGAGTATTGTAAATTGTACTGCTTCCTGAATGCACTATGCCAACACTCGGGATCCAGCCATTTCAAGCAGCATTGAACTTAGCATTGCTAGATAAATAGATCAACAGAGCGACACCGAACCTTCAAACGACGAGCCACAAGGGCTAGACAACTCGTAGTGTTTTCAGTGGTCCTCTTTCAGGGTGCAAGCGAACGGCGGCGTTTTAAGCCGCGGCGTTTCAACCGGGTGCAATGGCTCATTCTGATGATTCACCTCGAGTATGTGTCAGAGTCAGGACTCTGAGAAAGCAAAAGCAGGTTGGAACCCCTCTTCAAAAAAGCCATGGGTATTGGAGTGCCATGTTAGTATCACGGAAAGCTATGTGAGGGGTGGCTTTTTTGGGAGTTGGTACCAACTTGGGTTGGTATTAATAGGAAACCCGCAGGAAGCCATCCATCTAGCTGTGAGTATCAATAGGGAACTTCCTCCAAAAATGCTTGGTGGTTGCATAAATCCGAAATGTGGTCAAGAAAAGGGCAACCGTCTTCCATTGCCCGCTTTAGGCAACATTCTTACCCTGTTGCCCTTTTGAACTTCGTTCATTTTCTCTGGACCCAGGAAACAGTCAATTATCGCTTTTTGCGCGGTGGTCAACGTTTGGCCAAGGTTTTAGCGGCACCGAAACCAAAAAAGGAAGGATGGTTGAACGTCTTCTGTGAGGAAAAGCTGTTGAGTCGCCCAAAAGATCTGAGTGTCCACCGATAAGGAGCAACCACAAGCAACCTGTTTTCGCCAGGCTTGGCCCATGAACTACGTTGAGATCGTTCAGAGCCGCCTGGGGCAGTTCAAGTCCACCAGTCTGGCGCCCAGCTTACAGTTGTTGCTTAGGGCCCTCACACTTCCGGAGGGTCGATGGTGGGAGGGTTGGTAGCTAAATTTCAGGCAGCCATGGCCCGCAGTCTGCAGAGTTTGTGCCGCGGCACAGTTGGCCTAAGGGAGAATTGTGAGGCCGCAACTTTCTGGGCGACTTCTACTTTTTTCCCGTGCCTATCTAGGCACCTTTAGTTGACCTTATTTTGACCAGCTGTTGCCTTTGCCCCCTTTGCCATTTGGGGCTTCAGTCATTTTCCTCCCCATGTGTTTTGCAAGTTTGCCGTTACAAACGTGTCAGCCTCAGCTGTTGGTTGCCCAAGGAACGTCATGTAGGTTGGCGGTTGGGGTCGACGCTCAGAGGGGGAACTTATCAGTACCCATTTGAATGGATTTTTGCCTCCTAGGCACGCAATCCTTTGGAAACAGTGGGGGATCCATTTCCAATCCCCGGAACCCTCATATATAATTTGTCGTTGGATCCCCTTCCCTCAATCAGGCGTTTTCCTCCTGGTTGCCCCTTCAAAACCATCCAGACAGGAGGTTCTCAATCCGGTGTTATGTTGATTTCCCTTGAACCATCCCCAGCCGGTTTAAGTTTTTTTTTACATTGTTTTAGGAGGCACCCTAAGACATGTTGATCTGGTGATTGCCTTTTCTGTTTTTCCTTCAATCCACCATACAAAAGGGAGGTGTCCAATTCCAGGATACGTTTTTTTTCTCCCCAGTTGCATACACCTAAACGTTCGAAGCACGCCGGGCCGAATCTCCAACCGGTGGACCCCAAGCCATCCAGCGAGATAGTTGGAATATTGGACATGGGAAAGCGCAGTCCTTGGGGGGGGGGTTGTCAAACTGGGGTGGTTGCACCAACTTACCATTTTGAGAAGCCCGGGACCATGTTTTTCATCACGTAACCTTCTACGACTCACTTAATATGGGCCGGAATCAACAGCCTGACTCGCCGGACTAGTAGGTTGGCCAAAACATGTTTGAGCAAGCAACTCCCTCGCCCCTTTCAATGGTTTGCCAAACGGAGGTTTAAACACTTTGGCGGCTGAAACATGTTTCAATCAGGTAGGCCTAAGCCTGGTGACTCGCCCATGGTCACAACTGGCACTTGGCACCTGAGGCAAAGACAACTTCCTCCACATCGCGGCTCGATCTGGGCACAGGCCCCGCACCAAGCTCCGGGGCTCCGCGCATTCCTAGGATCCACCCCTCTCCCAGTGAAGACTACCTCCGGTTTCCGCCAAGTAAGGCCTGAACAAGACCATATTGAGGCCTTAGTTGCTTGGAGGATACCGGTGAAAGGCGGGAGTAAGGTGGGAGTTCCGGGACAGGGAGGTGGTAGTACTGTCGCGTGGTTCCCCTGCCCTGCCACCAGAGATCTTAGCTTTGGGCAAATGTTTGCGCCCTGCCCTCCTAGATTTGCACTTGTTGGGAAGACTAAGGCCTGGAGGGATCCTGGATGATCCTGGGGGCGTGTCATGGGTATCAGCCGGGTATCATGACTTGGGTTCAACCAATTGAAGCCCCAAACTTTAAGTCCCCTACTTGAGTACAGTCGGTGTAATAATCACCAGCTAACCACGTACATTGAGTAGCTTGACCCCATGCGGGCAGATCTGAAGTTGTCGGAACCGGAATCCCGAGGCCGATCTTCCAGCTGCTGCACCGTTTTGCGGAGCAGCACAAAGCGGCGCTCAACCAGCGGGGTGAGGAGGGCAACGGCCGACGCGGGTATGATTGGGCAAGCAAACGGGCCGTGGAGTCACTTTTGGACCAAGGGCACAGTGTTGTAGGCAAGGTCCCACTTGGCAGACACTCGACCATTGGCAGCTGAACACTTCAGGACGGCATGCTGCCTTTGCACCTGGCCGCCCAGACGGGGTCGGGGCGCCCGAATCGCGCCAGTTTCCAAAGTGAAAGCTGAGGCGGTTGGGCGGATTTACCCCAGGGGGCTATGACATTGCCATGCCTGCCCCCTACAAACGCCCGCTCTGTTTTCGGGTACATGTGTTTAGTCAGTGTCTGACGAGATGCCCAACAAAAAGCGGGTATTTGAATTTCGGGGGAACCACGCCCAGCGGCAAGAGGCGACGCTGCCTTGTCAAAAGCTAACCTGGTCGGCAAATTGAAGCTCGGGGTCCAACTTTAGTGGGGACGAGGTGGATGCCCCGAAACAGTTGCAAGGGCAAAAGAGAACCCCCCCTGATTTTACATGGGGCTAAACAATTGCAAACATGTTTCTCCCAGGTTGATTCAGTACTTAGTTTGATTCAATAGCGCCACATTGGATTCCCACTTTTTACAGTACATCTGAGGTTCACTTCATATGGGCCAAAACATCAAATGTATGGTTTGGCCTGGTGCAAAAGCTGAGGCGGGCTAGGGTGCCCTTTTCGTGAAGCGAAAAGGACAACCACTGTTTTATCAGGTTCCCCTATTTTGACACATACCCAGGACCTTCCCAAGGCATACCCAGGAAGGATGTTTCTCCGAGGCACACGCAGCTCATTGAGCTCATGTTGAAGGCTGGCTCAGCGCTCAATGCGGAGGAGCGATGTGGTCGAGTGAAACATGACCGAGTCCTCCGGTTTGTGTTCAAACAGGTGGCCCCGGAAACACGGGGAACAAGTCCCCAGTGCCCCTCCCAGATTGACCACAGACAAGGGGAGAAGCTGACGGAACCTCATCCCACGCCTGCAGTGGTCATGGAAATAGTAAAGGGCCTTTGAATGTGTAGGGGCTCCTTTTTTCGTCAAAGAGGGAATTGATAGTGTTGAGAAGGCGACCTCTTTTCAGGGGGTCTCATGATTCCCATAAACACCCCAACCCACCTCTCGTGGTATCCTTCAACAGCCCTGGAAAGGCCGCAAGTTTTGGTCTTATGGTTGGGGCAAGGGGGCTGTTGGAATCCTAAGGAGTTGGGCTGGTTGAAGCATCGCCTTTGCTTCCCTTTCGGGTGACACCTAAAGAGGCGTGTTTCCTCTTAGCATGGACCCGCCAACAATGGCTTCCATATGCGTGTAGGGCGCAAGTTTGTTCTTCCCTGGAACAGACTCCCCAACAGGATCTCCATCCATTGAGACCATACCAAAAGCCGGGTTCCAGGATTCCCCTTTTGGTTTCCCTTTTCCTTCCCAAACACGGGAGCCCCGTCACTTTGGACCCGTCGCTTTGTCATTGGCTCCAATTCGCCGGAGGACGCCGGGGAGCGGCTGGCGGTACACATCGCCATGCGCTGTGGCCACTTTCAGACGGCGCGGGGCCTCGGCTCGAGCCGATTGTGCGAAACAAGGCGGACATGTTCAGCTTGAAGCGGAAGGGGAGTGGCAATGATGGGCATGGTTCGAGATTTGACCGCGTGTTGCACTCCGAAACTTTGGAGCTGATGTTTGTGGGATGCCAAGGGAAGCCACCATCTTAAGTTTTTGAGTCACGTAGCCATGGGGATGGGTATCTGACTTTGGTATCATTGATGTCGAGTCATTTTCCACAACCATGACTTGACCTATTCACGGGACAGCGTTTGGTTTCGATTGGATCCAGTGGGAGCTGTCTGATACGGGCAGTGGAACCCATATGATTTGCCAAGACCAAAGGTGTACTTATACATTGATTTTTTGTTTGATTGCTTTTGTTTACAATGTTGATGTCTGATTGCAAACGCCCACTCTACGGGGTCTTTCGATGCCGAGGCGGCCTATTTAAACGACCGGTGGCTGGAGACCTATGGGAACGTGAAGACCTACGAGCGGCGCTCGCGCAAGGCGGGGACGGGGCCGAAGCAAAAAGCCTAGCCCTGGGAAAGGTTTCAAGAGCCCCTCGAAGAACCTTTAAGTTTTCCTGGGCGGGGGCCTTTCTGTTCCTGCAAGGGGTTGCACTTGGGCGGGTTTCGGTTTCTGGGGTCCAACTAGCCCACTCCCGGACCTGCAAAGAGGGGGCCGCAACCAAAAGGAATTTTGGGTATGGATCAAAAATAAGCCCACATTTACCAGGGCAACCCATTTTGGGGTGACCAACTATTCTTTGGTGCATTTTGCTTGGATGCTAGGACTTTTAACCTGTTGCCAACCGATGGTTTTTTTTTTATTCAACTACTAAACAATAAACTTTTAGCAGGGGAGCAGAAAGCAAGCAGGATTTTTCACCCGCCCACATCCCAGGTTTTGGGTTTTTGCCCCACTGCCGCGGGAGAAAAGCCCGCGGCAGGCGGAGCAGCTGGCGCAGCGCTTGACGGGGCTCACGGAGGCCCAGTTCCTGGCGCGGGGCCCAAGGGCCGGGCCGGGCCGGCTGCAAGGGGCTGGGGGGCAACTCGTGAGGTGGGGCAACACGTGGGGGTTGGCGCCTGTTTTTATGGAGATGTACTGGGGGACTTGGGGTGTTTGACCGAAGTAGCAAGAAGTGTATAGCTATGAAGTTCTGGGAACTGGGGTGAGTCCAACCATCCCTACCGCGGTTCTAACCCACTTAGGCTTTGCTGGAGGCTTGCAACCCAACTAATCCAGGTACTTCCCCGTTCCAGGTTGCCGGTTTCGCTTTAAGGCGTCCTTTGTTTCTTTGTTGGGTTTGGGACGAACGGACAAACAAATCCCAGCAGCTCTTCATTGAGAGTGGGGGGTTCTTGGATTTTGCTGGTTTCGGAGGTTTCCTGGGCCCACACTGTAGGGGGAGCGCTCCGGCGCAAGCACCAAACTTCAAAGAGGTTTTGCAGAAAGAAAGGCCAAACAGCAACCAAAAGGAAACCAAAAGGAAGCCAAAAGGACCCCCCGGTTGCCCCGAAGGGAAACCCCAGGCTGTCTTCGAAACTGGCTCCGATTTTCGCGCCGAGGCCGGCGCCAACGAGACCTTCACAGAGCCCGAGGGCCAAAAGCGCCCACGGATGCACTTTACCTTGTTGGTTGAAACGGGTGGAATTGTCCATTGGACCAGGAAAAAGTTGAACACTAGGATGGATGTGCGGCCTATTGTGACCAGCTACAGGCAATTCTAGAGCCACATCCCACCCACAACAAAGCTTATGCGATTTTTGCCAGGGACCCGTTCAACCGGTTCGAACTTTCTTTTGCTGGGTACGCTTTGTTGGGGGGAACCAGCAGGCCACCACGCATTTTGAGGGTCCACCATTTTGAGACACACCGGAGTTACAGAAGGGTTGGTGATGCTCATGACTTGTCCTTGGCACGCCAGCGAAACTGGAAATTCTGCCACCGGGACCCTCCAACATCTGCTCTTTCCCGTCCCACAACCCAAGTGGACCAAAAAGAAACAAGGAACGCAGGGTATCGCAGCTGATTGATTGGGCCAACGAACATGTGGTGGGGGATCAAGAAGATGTTGAAGGTATGGTAATACCAGGCAGTTTCTGATGCAGGGATCCTCACCAACAGTAAATTGGCACAGTTTTATTTTTCAGAATAACAATATGATATTCTAGGATTAGGAAGCACTTCGGATGCAGCTTGTGCGGATCAACTGCTCCTGGATAGCAACAGATCTACTAAAAGAGAACCAAAAGGGCCCAAACAAGAGAAGAACAGGTGGAATCCAAAAACAACTAAATTGTTTTCAAGACATACGTATGGTTATGGTTGGACCCCATTCCAAGCAATCAGATCCAGTGGTTTTAGACGTGAAGGGTTGGCGCTGTGCTGTATGGACCATGAGCACTTGGCCTTTTTGTCAGGATGCGAATGAACCCGTCCAGAGGGATTGTCGACCACAATGAGGTGGCCATTATTACATGTAAGCAAGGCTTAATGAGCTCACCTGGGGATGAAACAAACTCACTCATGATGAAAGCCCATGTCTTAGGAGTTCCTTGTTTCCAGTTTGAGATGCATGATGTGTTTGCAGATCATATGAGCAACCGGCAATAGCATTTCTACTGGTTCGACTGTGTCAACACCCTGTTTTGGGTGAACGTTCTCTGGGGGGCGCGCAGAGCCAATGACAAGGTCTGTCACAAAAACCCCAACAACCTAACACGAAGAGCCCCCACAAGGCACAAGTAAAGGCCGGGTCCGGCACCAGGTTTGGGTTACCGTCGACATGAAACGCGGAGGGAGTCCGTGACTTGTTCCAACCCAAACCTCAGGCGTTTTGTTGGCCGAACCTTCTTCTGAGTGTTTTCGGTTGGTATCTTTCCTGGGGCTTGTGAGCTTTCAGGGAGGAGGGGCTGGGGCTGTGCGGGGACGGCAGTTTGTCGCCTAGGCTCGGCTTCTTCAGCCAGAAGGAAGCAGAGGACAAGAGGAAGACGGCGGGGCATGGCCCCTGAAATGGATGGGTACCTCGTCAGCTTCCTTTTGGTTTGCCTGGAACGCGAAGAGAAAGAGACACATGCACGTTGTCCGTTTTCGGATGAAAGTTGGGGATGACGGTACGTAGGTTGTGTCCCACTTTCTGCATTGTGCCACAATACAATCCTGGGTTCTTGAAGCTTTCAAAGGCGACATATCCAACCATAAGTAGGCACGGCAGCCCTTTGGTTTCCTGCATGGGGTTCTGGGAAAACTCTTATGGCAGGCTTGTCTCGACATAGAAAAACCCTTCAATGGGTGGTTGTCCTAAGTTCCCGCTTTACCAGCCCGAAGGGCTTCCTTTGCAAACAGCATGGTTTGCTTGTCTCTGAGACACTGAGTTGATGGACCGCATGCTGTGTCTTAAGGCATGTCAGCACGATCGCAACAGCTATAACCTTCGTAATTTGGTCACGGCGCCCCGAGCTGGTTCAAAGGTAGCCGTTTCTGAAGCTGCTTTTCCTGATTTCTAGTGTTGGCTCCGCATGGATCAACCTAACAAACATATATAATGGGTCTGCCACCCAAAATTGGAATATTCCCTTTCAAATGGGACACCTCCTGTGAATCGAGGTTCAAATTCAAATATTCTGAAAAGCAACAAGTCATTGTCTGGTATACCTAGAGGGGGTGGACAAACCCCGCGTACCCTGCAATACCAGGGTTTGTTCTAACTCAGACAGACTGCCGTGATTTCCTGTTCGGCCACCTTCACGGGCTGGATTTGAACTGTCTTCTTGAAGCTACTTGTAGGTGGAAGGTACAAGGGCCTAAGCATTATACATGGCAGTCGGGTGCTTCAATTTCAGATTTGGTCCATGCTTATAAGTGCGAACGATTCAGCCGCCTACATTGCTGTACCCCCTCACTGAGTTCTGCAGCTGGGTTGCCCGCCACTTTCTGTATATGCCAGGGAAATCTTCTCTTAACGTGATGAAGTAGCGGTGGTTGGATGGTTTCGACTTCACCACCAAACGGTATCACTGGAAGGAGCAACCATTTACACAGATCACGTGCTGTAGGCACGGGCATTTGCCACATCTTGCTTTGAGGGTAGCATCTGTTTTTTGGGGAGAGGGGCCGGGGGGAAACCGAGCGCAAGTCGCCACTTTTGAAGACAAACCTATACATGTGAATCACGGCCCTTTGCATTGGTGCTGTCCCGCGCGGGTGCTTCTTTGCCTTCGAACGCGCAGGTGGGAGCCTTGCTGGCGGTCTTCTGGATTGTGGCCAATCAGTACGATCAGTCTGAACCTTGGACTGCTGGGCAACAGACCTTTAGATGGGTCTTTCAATTTTGCCTTTCTTTTGGGGTGTTTCGCTCGGAAATCAATGGTGCCCGTTTTATTCCCATGGCGCGACCTGTGTTTTCTCGTAAAAGCTCAACTTGCAGGATGTCGAAGGGTTGCCTGGAATGTCATGCTCTACTTCCTCGACTGGTTTTTGGTGTGACCATAGCTCCTTTGACCTTGGGAAGCAGCTGGCTTTTCCATTAATGCTACAAAGGATGGACCTTCTGCTGAGGGGGGAAGGGCAACCCAGTTTCAGCATTTTGCAGATGGCCCTTTGCAGTCGGGGAAGCGCGGGATTCCAGAGCCTTATTTCAGCCATTTGGAGCCGACGGCTACAGTTAATTCACCAGTCTCGAGATTAGGATGTAAAGTATCTATCCCTCACCAGGACGGGTTGTCAAGCCAACGCCCAAGGTTCGTCCGAGGACAAGACGAGAAGAATCGTCTGTCCAGGAGTTCCTGGGAACATCTTCAGGCACGCAGATCGCTGCCAAAGCGCTCTGAGTATCTAGTGCGTGTTTCTTTTTAAGGGCAAAGAACATCCCACTGGGAAACCTCTGGGGGATCCATCCCTTCCCGGATCTGGCTGGTCTGGGACACACCACGGGAGCCACTCATGGTCAGGAGAGTTCTGAGACATTTGGCGTTTCAGGCACCGATCGTGGGAGTCTTGGAGTCTTGATATCAGTCGCAAGTGCAGCCGGAACCCACGCGGGGCCCAGAGAAATGAAGCCATGAGCATCCTGTGACAAACCCGCCCCGAAATGCCCCAAATCGGAAAGCCCACCGAGGAAGGGATCCGTTTTTTTTTTTTTTTTTTATCGAGGCTGCCCCTTTCTAGGGTTGGCTTCAAAGGGAAACAAAAGGACACCATCCATTCTGCGGGTTCCCCTATTCTGGGAATCATGGTCAGAGGTGTCATGTTTCGCTCTTTCCAGCGACAACCCGTTTGGTTTGCTTCGAGCCTCTTAAAGTCGACCAGACCACAAATTGTTATTTCTTTGGTTTGGAATGGTTTCCTTTGACTATACCTTTGAAGCCAGTTGTCTACCCTTGTGCCAGGGTGTTCGGTCTGTTCCAGCTTTCCCAACAGTCATGCGCCTCCAAGTAAAGTCTGAGACCCTATGGATAAGCCTGGCATAAGCCAAGCCGCCAAGTTTTTGAGGTCCTGCTCAGAACCCATAAGGGTTTCATCCATCCCAACCGGTGGCATTAGCCGTCGGCGTGCCAGGACTGGACTACCAACACGGTACGCCTCACCAAGAGCCATTCGATGGCCAAAGGGCCCAGAGTGCAAAGGCGAGGGCCTTTGGCCCATGGGGCCGCAATCCATTTCGCACAACTTTGAAACCATGGGAAACCATTGTCTTTGGTATTTACATCATCACTTGGGTTCTTAGGTACAGGATTCCGTCCATCTACAGTATGGCCTGAGAACAAACAGGTTTTCAAGTTTGGGATACTTTAGGTGCCAGGATTCGAATGGGGTTGTGAGGTACTCATGACCATAGCACCATGCTACTATTTGGCCCCTCTTACAGACTTGCGCGCATACTACTCTCAAGTCTTTGGGGCGATCCTGCTGTATTTGCATCCGTTTCGGAAGGATCAGGCAGTGGCGGGTAATTTAACACCTGAGATCTTTGGATGGGAAATCGGTGTTTCACCTCTATGGCCTACGCCCGAAATGAAGATACCAGGCAAGAATGAGCCATGTAGCCACTCGGCCAAGTACCCTGGATGCCCCCTGGCTTGTATGACCTATTTGTAAGGAGGTTTATGGGTGTTTTTCTACGTGCGTAACTTTTCCATATTTCCACGGAAGCTTGTAACCACGAGGTTTATGGTCGTGTTCTACGTGGGTAACGTTTCCGTGACTTCCATGGATATTTGTTTTCAAGAAGCCACTAAACTTCGGTGGGGGGACAACATGGTTGAAGATAATTTGATCAGGAATCAACTCTATAGAGTTGGCGTTCTGTTTTTTGAGGCTAGCCTTGGAAGGCTAGACAAAGCGAAAGCGCACCCACTTCTTGGGTCCCCGCATTCTGACAAACACACACAATCAGGACTCTAGATTTTGTGTCAACTTGAGCATCGGCCTACCTAAGGTCAGCGCCATGCTGGTCTACGCACGGAGCTGAGGAAGGCAGAGTGCGCGCGATAATGAACCCAGCAGGTCTGGGAATGACTTTCCTTTTGTGAAGCCTTCCTGTCTACTTCCATGGTTGTAAACTGCGCAGTTGACTTTAAAGGAGATCCCTCTCCCTTAGCAAACATGTTGAGTTTCTCAAGATATTTGTCGGGGTGGTGTCCATTCCAACCACAATTTGGAGGAGCAACATGTACCATGCATGGTCAACAGACCCTTGCGTTGGTGGTGTAATAGGGTTAGTCACAAACGCTTCAGTGGAAATTGGACAAGCATGGTAAGGTTGATATCTGGGTGCAGCACCCATTGGGTGTGCAATGGCCATGATGTGATGCACCTTGGAACCTGTTTCCTAGATGGTTCTTTGGATGCTACACGGCACGCAATGTGTATATTTTTCTAAAAGGGGTTTGTACATGGCTATGTAGGTGGGAGGGTGCTTGCTTTGGTCCTTTTTTTGGGGGGGAATTTTGGGGACCTTCAGGATGTGACTCAGTCACAATCCTTGCGAAGTGTGGCATCCTGAGGTGGCCATCATGAATGTGGGCAAGATCAAGCCTTTCCGTGCCGCATTTGCCTGCCACCCAGCGGAACATGCGACAGATTCCATTCTAGGCTATCAACTACGAAACCCCAAACCAGGACGCAGGTCTTAGTGGAAATTGCGTGTTGAGTTGGCACACTTTGAATTGTTTGCTAGGTGTTCTTTATCATTGTGGTAAGGGCTCAACCAGC